CACCCAGTAATAGTCACTATAGGGGATAATGGGGATTATACTAGGGTCCTCTTATATTCCTATTATACCACTATTACAGGGTGGGGGGTCCTAAGGTCTAGGCTATAGGCCCCAATCATGGAGAATCAAATGGAAAAGAACATGAACAAGAGATGGAAACTATGTTTTTGGGTATGTAGGGGTATTTGGGCTCAAGTTACGGATGCCGGATTTCGGGCTCAGGATTTAAGAGTTCAGGGTTTAGGGTTTAAGGTATAGGAGGTAGGGCATGGGATTTAGGGAATTAGGGTGTGCAAGCCGGGTGGCGCGCTCGAGCGTGAAGCGCCCCTGGCCGCGCGCTTGCGTTGCTTCTCAGCACACCGTGGCCACCCACACTACATTCAATCAGGGTTAGACGGTTCCTGCATGCATGCACTATGCATGGCCCCCCCGATGATGCCGCATTATCTGGAAGTGCTAGGTTCACAGAAACGCTGGCAAAGAAATTCTGGAAGTTTGTATGAGCTTCATACTCCTCATTTGGATCGTAAGAAGAGGGCCACTGTCAAGCACGCTGACAAGGACCATGAGCAAAGTCTGCAAAGGGATCGAGCGGTTCCGATAAGCCATGGGAGTAGTCGGCAGTTTTGGAAAGGCCTGAGAGGCCTTAGGCGCAGGCGCTGGATGAAATGCCCTGAGAGGTCCTGGGATGCCATGGAGGCCCGCTTGTGGCAGGCTGAGGCTTTGGGTTGTCTTTTCCTTTTCGCTACTGTATACTATAGAGGCTTGCCCGAAGGGGGTGAGGACGGCTTGTGAGGTGGCCTGCGCGGGTCAAGGAGGTGAGCGTTTGGGGTCTGTCACTTGACGCCCCTCACTTATCAGAAGGGTTTGGGGTACAGGCCTGGGGTTTTGGATTTGGAGTTTTAGCCCAGGGTGGGGCAAAATTAGGGTTGAGGGCATAGGATTAGGGTTTAGGCTAGTCAGCGAAGCAAACGCTTCACGAGACTGAAAGAAAGAAAGGTTAGGGCTAGTGGGTTAATTCGGGGTCTAGGAAGGGTTTAGGATTTTCAGGGTTTGGGATTCAGGCTTTTGGATATAGTTAGGGTGTGAGATGCAGGGGTTCAATGCTTTGATCTGAGGATTTCGGGCTCAAGGTTTAAGGTTCAAAGGTTAAAGGCGTTGGGTTCATCAAGCTGTATAGGGTTTCATCTCCCAACCCAAGAAGATTAGATACTCCCGAGGCAGTACCATTATGATGAGAGAGCTTTTCATATCACGGGGTGGGGAGTTTACCATGATTGAGGCGTGGAATCGAGGGGTTTTGAAATGGGAGCTTTTCAAAGTATCCCCTGATAGTTGTTATCAAGGACTTCCAAGAATCCCCTTATAGTCCCCACTTTGGATCTCGAAGGGCCCCTTCTTTGGAGGAACTCCCAAACAAGGTTCTCAACTCCCAATTAGGATTCCCAACTAGCCACCCAAGTTGGGCCTTGTTGAAATGACACAGGTTACGGCAGACATAACCTACGAGAACGTGTTCGTGCAAGATGACCGCTACACTCTTTCTGGTGGCAATTGGGGCATGTTCTAGAAATCGCTTGTATTCTTTTAATGACATGCCCCTCCCCTCCCCATAAAAATGCGACTAACATTATTGTTGTGGAAGGATCCAGGACAGACGGAGGCCAGAAGAAAAATGTGTATTCCGGGGCCTTGGAGCCCAACCAGCCCCAGACGGAGCAATTCCACTTTTACCGCTCACCGAAGAGTGAGATCTATGTAGACTTCATTGGCACACTCCTCAAGGAGGCCGACTTCATCAATGGCCGGGTGGTGTTCGACAATGGCATGAACCTGAAGTTGGTGTGGGTACGGGGAGGCAATGTCACGCCTGAACAGCAGGACATGGGCCCAGTCTCGGTTGTCGTTGCCCATGTAGTCAATGTAGTTGCCGACAATGCCACTGGCGCCGACAATTCTCCCGCGGGAGCGGTAGTACCTCCGACAACGGTGGTGGCAGCATGAGTATGGGGTTTCCAAGAATTAGGGGTCTTGGCTTGGGAGTCCTTGTACTGAGGAGTTTTGTATATTGGGGTTTATTTTAGGGTTCCTTAGTTGATGGACACACCCATACTGTACTGTTTTTTTTTCGTTTTCATGTCCGGGTTGTCTTGGCGGCAGACACCGATTTTCCTGTGGTGCGTCAGGCAACAAAGTTGCTGGCAGGGACCTATAGCTAAGGATTCAGCAAGAATTCGTAAGACTTCGATACAGGTTCCCCGGGTGGCCTGCGGGCTTCTATGCACAGTAGGCGCTATTGGTCGGTATTTAGGCCATTTAGGCTTTTACGTTACACCCGCACAAAGCCCTAGATAAGCTGCTTTCATTCATATTCTTCCCACTTGATTCTCCATCATTTTACTTCGTGAGGACCCTGAACCTTGTACCCTGCAAGTTGGATCCTTACGTCATGTGATCTTGGGTCCTCCTGTTGCAGTTGTATACGGGGTGTTATATTGGTTATCTAGGTATCTGCAGCGGTATATTGGGTTGCGTGGTTCCAAAAAAAATGCGGGCTTTCATTATTTTGGGAGTTCTATCATGGAGCGCCCTACTTATGGAAACCCTCATCTGGGCCTTCCTTGAAAAAGGCGCCCCCTCTCTGTTACCTCAAAACGTGCATGATCTTTCTTACGCAGACCACCGAGAATTGTTAGTGATGTTCATGAACACCCCAATCGCATGTCACATGTGTTTCAGAGGAGCGTGCCTGGTTTGCTGCCTTTTGACCTGGGTTCTGAGTGTGCCTAACCTTACCCATTGTAATTCATGCCTAACAACAGTCAGAGGACTTAACGCGCTGCAGGGTTTCCTCCTTGTACAGTATGTTGGAACTATATGGTCATCATCTCTGCTGCTTGAAGATAGTGCACAATTTTCATTATGCCTTCGCGCAAGAAGGAAGTCTTTGGTCAACCCAATAAGGGACAAGGGATAATGGAGAAGAAAATGGA